TAAATTTTAATAAATTTGATTTAAAAATAGTGTAAGAAAATATGATTTTATTGTAAAAAAACGCGTGGGGTGCTTTAAATTTATTAAAATTAATTAAATTTATTAAAAGAAAATTTCTATTTTTTAGTGGGATTTTCTATAAAAGCGTATTGTTTTAGTTTTTTTAAACTATTATTTATTTTGTATTTATTTTTTAATCTCGTATACCGTAATAGACATTTTCATTTTAACGCACCAATACATACAGGGTGTTAGGGAAAGATCCCTAAATGCGAAACTCAGACGCTGCTTTACTTCATTTCAGACTTCCTAAATATATTCTAGAAAAGTATTTAAAAAAAAATAGTCCGTTTTCCTGCCTAAATTATGGCCACCCTAATATCGCTAGAGCTTATCTTCCGCCGTACGTGCAGACTTTCTAACGGGATATAGTCTCGGAACAGAGAATATGCCGAAACACTTCTTTTTATGTTAGATATCTTTAGAAGAGCAATGACAGCTGGTGTACTAAACAGTAAAGGTTCTTTTGTTATTGCCTATGAATAGAGTAAACCCACAATCTAGTCTAAAGATATAAGGCCTGAAATATAAGAAGATTGGAACTTCGATCTTATGCTTTGAAGGGTAGGGCAGCCGTTGTAGTATACTTGAGACTTTAGAACTTAATCTCAAGGTGGGTGGCGGCATTTACATTTTAGATGTCTATGGGCTCCAGTAACCACTTAACACCAGGTGGGAAGTGTGCTCGTCCATCCATCTAAACAATTAAAAAAAAATGTATATATAGAGATAAAACCTTTAATCGCGAAGTATAAACACGACGCCTCATCCCATTCCAATAAAGTCGACGTTTATTAAGTAAAAATACATTTGTTTTTATAATAAACAAGCAATATAATAAAATGTAAGCGAACATTCTTGCAAATTCCAGCAAAACGTACGGTCTGCAACAACATAAAACTAAAAATGTCGTCGTGTTTGATGTTTATGGACAATTTATGGCGGCACTTTAGATATATTATTTTTAATGCATAAACAAAAATAACAGCTGTACGTACCGACGCCTGTAAAATGAAGTATTTTATGGACATAATTAAAACTAATTTTTAAATGTTTAATCTTGGCTGATTTTTTTATTGTCATCATATTGCTTCGGATGCTTCAAATATATTGTTAAGTCTACAGTACGTATTCGTGGTCGCAGACAACTCAGGTGTTACTAGGTGATATACGAAAATTTAACTACCGTCAATTTTTTTATTTAAACTACCTTTACTTATGCGCACTGTCCTGGCTGAGCCTTTGCTCGCCTACCTGTCCTGGTGAAACTGGAAAGGCCTCCGGGACACCAGTAATCTTTCAACCATAGCAAAAAAAAAAACTTATGCCCACTCGCGAAAACTAAAGAAAATACTTTGTCGAGCCTTTATCTGACATGCAGGTCACCGGTGCCCTACGTAGAGCAGTGAGTAATTATGTCGATTTCTGTTAATATCTAGTAGACTATGAGAAATACAAATCTAAAATCTAAAATATAGATAAAAATCAAAAAAGTAGGCAAAGTTCGTGCGTCACGTAGGACATCGGTGACCTATATGACAGTCAAAGGGTTCTCATTTAAAACGCTTCTATTAAAATATCAGAATTTCGCGGACGTAGCATCATCATTTAGTTTGAGAGTCACTGAAACATTCTAAGCTTAATCATAACAGATAATTCTATCACGCATCGCTGACGTAAAAATATGATACGGCTTTTTACGTTCACTACCCACAAAAATGTATTTGTAATTTTCTTTGACCTTTAATAAAGTGAGTGTCTACTGGACCTTAAGATCTCATTTAAAAGGCTTCTATTAAAATATCAGAATTTTGCGGACGTAGCATCATCATTTAGTTTGAGAGTCTCTGAAACATTCTAAGCTTAATCATAACAGATAAATTTACCACGCATCGCTGACGTAAAAAGATGATATGGCTTTTTACGTTCACTACCCACAAAAATGTATTTGTAATTTTCTTTGACCTTTAATAAACAGAGTGTCTACTGGACCTTAAGATCTCATTTAAAACGGTTCTCTATTACAATATATATTAACCATGTTTATTGTAATGTCCAAATATCATGCGTAGCGTAACCGCGCAACGATGAGGCCTGGATTTGAATAATTTAATGCGTTTAATTCTAATTAAACGATACACAATTTACCTCCGACCGCTACGGAATACGAACGGATCGAGAGAAGCACCAATAATTTACTAAACACGAGTGAAATTGACTTCCGATACAATGAACCGGCAATGTATTGATTACAAAAAAAAGAAGGTTTTTTTTTTTTTACGGTAAAAAATTTTTATTCGTTTCCAATATGGATTTGTTACGGTAGGTTTGCATTTTAATAAAGTATTTAGTAGATTATTAGAAAATTTCTAAATTCTCCGAGTGTTGCGACAGAGGTAACTATGTCGGGATTTATATGACATTTCTGAACTCACAAATTAAAAGATCATTAATTATGACTACTTAGATGCACTTTTTTTTTTTATTGAAAGATTACTGGTGGCCCGTAGGCCTTTCCAGTTTCACCAGGAAAGGTGGGCGAGCAAAGGCTCGGTCAGGAGGGGTGGGATTTGCTAACAGCTACCCGAGCGCCTCCGAAGGAGACCTAACAGCTCAAGAGTAGCTGCTTCGTGAATGAATCTACTACCGGATCGGAATCGCGACCCGCTGAGAAGTTCCGGCGAGAAACTCAGCGAGCTGATTCATGGGTTAGGTTGCACGGCGAACTCTTTGTCGAGTTCGACGAGTACGGTTACCGAGGTCCCTAAGCCTGCTCCTAGTGTTAGAGCTGAAGGCGTCTAATGCAAAGGTTAGATGCACGTATTTAGGTAAACAAGATATTAAAATTTATCTTGATTAAAAACATCGTGACAATTTGCCATAAATGATTACATTACCCAATATATAAATTATAACCATTGATAATTTACAACTACATATACCTGAACCTCATATTATTGTATTGAAAATTCTAACACGACAAATTGTATTTTACTATTCGAAGAAACCTTGCCGAGCCATTTTGATTCTTATCCGCACGAAAGCAGCAAGGCTTATGTAAATAATCGTGCAATCCAGGAACGTATTTTTTTTTATCGCAAATACCGAACTTAATGTATTCATGATATTGGTGTTAACTGTTAACAATCATTATATAGTTATTTTAATATTTGAAAATTTTTCTTAAAGCAACTCTCTCTGATGCGATTTTTTTTTTTTTTTTCAGTCCTTATGTTGGTGATCGAACTCACGGCCAACCTGGTGTTAAGTGGCAACCGGAGCCTATAGACATCTACAACGAAAATGCCGCTACCTACTTCGACACATAAGTTTTTTGAGTCTTAGTTTTAACAGTACAACAGCTGTCCCACCCTTCATACCGAAACGCATTACTGCTTTACGTAGAAATAGGCAGGGCGGTGGTATGTACCCGTGCGGACTATAACTGCATTGTTTTATATACAGGGTGGAAGGAAATGACATAGTGTAAATATTTTTTGACTCGATTTAATTTTTTTGATTATTTACCCCAATGCGGAAGCAAAGGTATTCACTTTCACCCTCTGATTTGCTTATTTCTCTTCTGATCTGTGGCTGACGTAGGCTCCATGTGTGAAATGAGATGTATGCTTTAGTTGATACTGTATTAAATATTAGTTTCATACTGCATGTTTGTTCTATTGTGGTTGATGTTTTTTTTATTGCCCTTGTAGGCATACGAGCATACGGACCATCTAATGGTGAGTGACTACCGTCGCCCATAGACTTCAGCAATGCCAGGGGCAGAACCAAGCCGTTGCCTACCAAAAATGTACTGGTCTGATATACTAGTCGATATTGGTATTGTGGTGAACATTGGCTATATTATTCCGAAAGACCCAAAAATAATACAAAATTACCTAATCCACTGATGGTATTGTAAGTCATGGGTACCACCGTCATGCCTGTGTCCGCTGCAAAGCAATTGTGCATTTCAGTTTGAAGAACTGCCCTTGTATAATGCAATTGACAATTGGACCTGATTGTCTCAAGGTAGGTTACATGCTATCACAATGTCCAAGAGCTCCGGTATCCAAATTAACGTGGACCATGGGTTCATTTACCCACCATTTGCCCACTTATGCCGTAAAAATACAACTGTGTGATAGATAGATTAGGAAAAATACACAACAATTGCTATCACCTATAACCACACGAAAAAAAATTGAGAGGCAAAGGTTTTTATTTATAAATTATTCTCAATTCGCGTGACGTATCGAATTTATTCCCAGGTACGTTATCGTGGTCAGCCAATTCTTTTATAACCAACTTTAGGGTTTTGTATTCTGCCTCCCTATTGCTAGTAACTTCGATCGGTTATGCTATAAATAATAAATAATTCGGAACAAATCACGCACAATCAACCGGCCCCAATTAAGGATTACCTGTGTTATGGATACACAAGACTGATAAACATACTTATATATGTTTAAATATATACATAAATAGATAATAATCACCCAGACAAATAGCAAGCAAACATATTAATCAGAAAATGTTTGCCCGATGCGGGAATCGAACCCACGACCCTCGGGTCAAGTCAGGAGCGCAAACTTCTGCACCACCGAGTCAGTGTGCTAGCTTCACCGAGCGTGTAAGTCGTTTAATACAATTTACCTACTGGTGGTAGGACCTCTTGTGAGTCCGCGCGGGTGGGTACCACCACCCGGCCTATTTCTGCCGTGAAGCAGTAATGCGTTTCGGTTTGAAGGGTGGGGCAGCCGTTGTAACTACACTTGAGATCTTAGAACTTGTATCTCAAGGTGGGTGGCGCATTTACGTTGTGGATGTCTATGGGCTCCAGTAACCACTTAACACCAGGTTAGCTGTGAGCTCGTCCACCCATCTAAGCGATAAAAAAAAAAAAAAAATTGAAAATGACACTAGAATCTCTGTCGCAGGCTGCAAATCGTTTTTCAAGAGATCCGTCCGGAGAAACCTGACGTATTCGTGCAGAGGAAACAGGAGCTGCCCCATTGACCAGCACCATAGAAACCAGTGTCAGTTCTGCAGACTAAGGAAATGTCTCAAAATGGGCATGAGAAGAGAAGGTGAGTCCGAAAAATGTTTACAATAAAAAAAAATGTGTTTTATATTTTTATAAATAATCCTTAAGAAAATTTTACTAACTGTTTAATAAATTGGCTTCGAAATTTGAACTAACCATGCCTATATTGAGACATTAGTAGTTTATTGATTAATTTTTATTCTGTTAATAAAGTTTTCTTTTTGTTTGTCGGTACATCGAATTCAGTACCAAGTAAGTGTTAATATTAAGGTTTTAATGTAGCGCAGTGTTGGACGTCGGAAAGACGGATCAGTAAGGTTGTCATAAAACAAATAATAATGTTTTTGATGGATTTATTTCACTCGTAAGTAATCGAAATTATCACACGTCACTTTTCTCGATTCCTTTGGTTAGAGACGAATTCTCATTTATAAACGTGTCGCCTATATGTAGCGTATCCATTGCGTTGTTCCTTAAATAAATACAATCATTTTAACATCTTGATCCAAATAACTTGACTATGTATACAATTATAGGGAGTTTTTGTGCAAAGTCACTGTCTACTGAAATATGTCGGAAACGCGTACAGGTAGAAAATTGATAAACATTACATATTCAAGTAAGTAGAATTTGCGAACTTATAATACATACAAAATCAGGAATCAAGATTAAATTCACATAACATATCAGACAAAAATTGATTCGAGATTTCTTGAATTTTGCGTAATGCGATATTATGAGTAGCTTTTGATAGCTTATATATAAGATCCCTATCTAATTATTCTGAAAGAAAATCTTATGGAATCTATATATTAATACGTGAAGCAAAAACTTTGTATACCTTTTTACGTAAATTGCGCGGACGGAGGAGTATTAAATTTTCCACACTTATAGAGAATATAGAGAAGTATAAAATACAATCATAATAGTGTACAAACTTACAATTCCAATTAATTATAGTCGAATTTCGACTACTGGGGGACCTCTAGTTCAAAATAAAGAGGTGAAGGAATTAGGACATTCGTCCTTCTCTGCGATTCATTAAAGTTCATTCTCCTATAGAATTTCGAAATGAGATATGGTTAACAAGATTACCGAAAATCAGAAATATAGAACATCACATAATAAAAAAGTGATTTCAAATCCTAAAAAAAAAGACTGATAAAATGGAAGTGATTGAAAGGCTATTTCAAGCACTCCGTCCCCTTAGAATCGAAGCTTGCCCGAAATTACCACGTCTCGGGCTGTGGCGAAAACTGATATTTCGAAAAAAATTATGATACAATACATTAAAAGTCCATTTGTCAAAAAGGCGGAGATTGTCGCGTACGTAATTAGTTAAATCATTAATCTTATCTGGTCATTAGCCGGAGTGCCCTTGGACAGTGCTCTGAGTAACTGAAGATCAATCAATAAAAAGCATTTACTTTAAATCTTTAGGGTTGATTGTTTTGGTCCATAAAAATATTTTGAGTGTAATTGCAAAATGGGAAACAGAACTTCAAATCAAGAAAATGAGTTGTTATTTATTATCAACAGTAATTATTGAAAAGATAGTCAGCGGATTTGACGATGAGTAACTATTATTCCATAAAGCCAGGGACGTATTCTGGTCAATCATCTATGATTAAAAAAAAGCAATCTATACTTTATATTATATTATATAATATTATAAAGAGGAAAGATTTGTTTGTTTGTTTGTTTCGAATAGGCTCCGAAACTACTGGACCGATTTGAAAAAATATTTTTCCATTAGAAGCCGACATTGTCCCTGATGAACATAGGCTATTTTATTTTTATTTTTTTTTATTTTTTTTTTTGGTTTCATGTGTGTTTTAATATTTCCGAAGCGAAGCGAGGGCGGTTCGCTAGTATTTTATAAAGAAGGCTATTTTTGTCCTAAATTTAACAGATGAATGTATCATTTTTGTCCTAAATTTAACTAACCAAATATCAGATAACAAATCAAGCTATTAGGCCTTAATTAAAACAAGTAGTTATTTCGAGCTGAACTTTTAGTTTTGTGTGCATACTTCGAACTAGTAGCGATATATTTTCATTACTTGTTAGAAAAAGGCAATGTTGTTGTAATTTTTTTATAAAAGGAAACGACGCACCTCAATGATTATGCTCTCATAAAAAATATTTTTGTTATGCTGCATTAATGACTTATTGACTTGGCGTTAATAAAATAACCAAATTGAAAAGAAAAAAGTTTTCGTGAATACTCTCGTCAGCAAAATGATGTTAACGAAACATAAAAAAAATGTTGAGTCTTCAAACGTTATCACTTAACACGATTCGGGTTAAAATTTAAATTAAATAAAAACCTTTCGTACCACTTACATATGTATTCAGTCAAATTATATTTTGCTTGATTCACTTTCTCCCTAAAACCTTAAAACTTACACCTCCTTAAAGTGTATAAAGATCGATATCAGAAATAATAAATACTCTAAGAAAAGAGGACCCGTGTCAATCAAATTTACAAATACCAATACTTTGGAACATCAAACCGATCATACTCTATCATTATAACAATTTTATTATCAATCCGTATTGTTTTAAAGACATTCAAATGATTGATGGTACACCAGTGATTAGACAGAGCAATAATAATTAAGCAACGTCAAATTTATAATGAAAGACAAAAAGGTGTGAATGAAGGCTTGAAAATAATGAAAATTTACCTCACCGTTTTTAAGTATTAAAACTAATGGTCTTCCTAAAGTAAAACCCAACCTTGGCCCGCAGTTTTATGGTGTAACAAAGCTACTTACAGCGTCCAAGGTACAGATTTTTACGGCCTATTGATATTTATAGTTTGTTAAACGCGAAGTAGCTACCTATAATAAACTCTGTCGTATTTCGTTGGCAGATGTCAATTTTTCTCAACTTCATGTCAGTTAGGTCAATAATTATAGGTCTACTAGCGACCCGCCCTCGCTTCGCTTCGGAAACTGTAATTTATTATTAATTTCTTCAGTATTTAATGGATGTTATTATACATATAAAACTTCCTCTTCAATCACTCTATCTATTAAAAAACCGCATCAAAATCCGTTGCGTAGTTTTAAAGATTTAAGCATACATAGGGACAGATATAGGGACAGAGAAAGCGACTTTGTTTTATACTATGTAGTTATTAAACCTTAGAATGAATTCGCTAATGCTTATAATTATTACGAATGTACCACTGCCCTATTTTCGCAGTCAAGCTTGCTTTCTTATATGGTACGAACCGTTACTCGTATCCACAGGCTAAGCCATCGCCTATGATCGACACTAATGGGTTCGTTCATGTCCATTTATACCTACAAAATTGTATCCATCGCAAATAACATTAAGTATCTATGAATATTCAGACGATGACGTATCCTCGATAAAGGAATTTATAATGCGGCCACATTTCCTATTCAATTTTATCATGTATTTTTTACCTAAATCGACTTAAGCAGCGAATCGCAATAAAGATGTCGAATTATACCCGAACGCTGCTTCTAAATTGTCAGTCTGCATGATTTGAATATATTATTCAAATTGTTATAATTTTTATAAAATCCAAACTTATACAAGTGGATCGTTTGGAGATAGCGCGCGATCAACATAATTCCGTCTTGTCGTAAGGGAAACGTTGGCTGAGGGCAGAGAGGTTCATAGAGCAACCGGAACCCCGCTGGCTCCGTGATTAAGCACACGCGGGGCCAAACGTTACCCGTTTGACGACGACGCGACTCTTTGGCTTCTGCATCGAAATCAAATTATTTCGCCAAAACTATTNACAAGTGGATCGTTTGGAGATAGCGCGCGATCAACATAATTCCGTCTTGTCGTAAGGGAAACGTTGGCTGAGGGCAGAGAGGTTCATAGAGCAACCGGAACCCCGCTGGCTCCGTGATTAAGCACACGCGGGGCCAAACGTTACCCGTTTGACGACGACGCGACTCTTTGGCTTCTGCATCGAAATCAAATTATTTCGCCAAAACTATTCCGAGAATTTTTACGACGGCTATTCATTTACCTTCGACGTGGTCGGGCCCGTCCAATTTGTATCCATTATCGTATATAATGTGGGCCGTAACTTTTTCGTGTCCGAACATTAAAGTTTTTACACCCACCTTTGGCTCATTAGACCCTCGTACTTCCGAGCAGATAATGCAAAGGCCACGCCGGAAAGGACACGGTAACCCGTTGCTCTCGATTCAACCCTCAAGCACCCCATTAGGACTCCTCGACCCCGTATTTTGGCCAACAAACGATTTGTTTGCTGTCAACAAACAAAAGAAAGGTGCAAAAGATCAGATTCTGTATACGCTTTTTATTCGAGATTAACTAATAATAGGAAGGAGAGAAAAAAAAGTAAGTGTGTCTCTTTTGTCGTTTTGTAATCGTCTTAGATATGAAACTAGTAGATCTGGTCGAGATTAGAAGCGTCGATGCGCCTTTTGTATTATTTCACGTTACTATTGTTTGTAACGGTGTAGTTGGTAGGATGGTTTGGTGAAACGTTTTAGCGGTTAAAGGGGTCCATTCAGGGGTGTCGGCTACTAAACTCGATTGTTCTGCTGCATTTCGATACGATACAGATACGCTTATCGTCCGCTATAACGCTCTTCATATTTCACGATAACGAAGTGTAAGGTAGTATAACTGTTTTATGAACATTAAGCTATTACAACTATGGCCTCTAATGACTTGGTTATAACATGGTAAATCTATAGGCAAATCGGGAAAATTCGGAAAAACCCTGACTCACTAATTTACAGTAGCTTTAAGAGACCAGTTTACCGAACTGGCTCGGAATAGAAGATCTTTGCACTAGCTAAAGATCAGAATATTGTTCCCGATAAGCCAAAAGGAAATGGACCGATTTATTGAACAAGGTTAGTTTAGCATGGAGTATAATATCTGTATATTCGTACCTTGTTTGTTACGTTTAAATTATCAATTATTATTACTTTTATGTGTTTTTTAATACTAAAGTGGTGTTCTAATACCACTATAGTATTAAATTGCTCATAATCGAAGCAAACAAAGCGCCGTACGTATTGATTAATTAACCACATTACGCGGACCGGTTTATTAAATAAGTGCATATCATAAAAAGTGTGTACGTCAGTTGTTTCCTGAACAATGGCTTCTATACCTTTTGTTTGGGGCGCATCAATCACGAAGCTCATTGTTTGGGATATCTTAATAAGTTTTTGTGTGGGACCGGTCATTTAGAAAAATCTCTGGTATCGCACCCGATA